AGAATATGAGCTTTAACATTATGGTGGGTTATATAAAGATAAAATGGAGGGGGGAGGTATTGCCATAGAGATTATGGTAGCCAGACTTTCATGCTCTCCCTCAGGATAAATTGTGAAGTGAAACAATGGGAGATGATATCTAGGTTTATATACAACTGAGCGCAAAATATCATCAGTGCCTGCAATACCCGATCACTTTGCTTAATGCTAATTAACACAACTATTTAGCATCTTAAGAAATATGCTTCTAAGATGGTTATATATTATTAAGCAGCTTTTTAGACATCAGTCAATTGTGAAGCATAGGTACAATAGGGGTAACAAAACCAATTCGTCTGACAAGTACACTCCCATAAAAGGTCAGAACACACATGTCTCACGCCCGATCCTCACTTTTTGAAAATACCCACAGTCACCGCGCCTCTCTATTAAACTCAATGCCACGCTAGAAAACCTAAACTCCAAGAGAATTAGTTGTATTGATTTTGTCAATACAATTTAATGTGGTTAGAGTGTTGGAGAAACGCATATTATATATGATAAGATCTAACAAAGAACAGTTCTTCACTTTGCTGCGTCTTTCTTTCGCTTAGCCTAATTCAAGCTTATTAACCGATGGCCTCGCGCGCGTTCCCTGAACATACAACACCCAGAGCTAGGTGATAAATGCCCAATGAGTGAGCCTAATTACCCTAGACCTGCAATGTCGCCTTTTAAACACCACGCTGTACCTTTGCTCCTTGAAGACATTCCTATGGTCAGGTTTATTTATATCTATAGATTGTGAAGTTGAAAGCAAACTCGTATGTGTGTGTCACTTCTACTTTCAAGTAATACGCACGACAAACGCTTCGCGCCCTGACTTGTGGGCTCGTGGACACCACCAAGCGTGTGCTTATCAGACACTTCTGCTCTTCTGCACGCACACAACAAAAATAATAATATCATAAACTAGTATGATTATGTTAGTTCTTCATAGAGGAAGATGGGGCTTTGTGGAGGTGTGCGCGCCTTCTTATTTGTTGGCGGTAGAGATGGGAGTAGAATAGATGAAGAAGCGGGTTGAGCAACTCTAAGTGAGTATGTTAATTAGCGTGGAAGAGAGATTTCATGCTTCTTCTCCTCTAGGTCGCTACCTAGATTTCAGCATTGAAGGGTGCAGTAACATTCATGATTTTGCACTTCACCTTCCCCGACCTAAACAAACCTCTCGAACCCACTCATCACTATTATCAGCAAGACAAAAGACAACAGCAGCGATCTCTTGTAACAAACATAGCAACTACTGCCTCCTGCCTGCATGCGCAGTGTGAGAGGAGAGGGAGAGCGCTTGATGCCAGGAAGAGCCACAGTCTGTTTGCTCTAGCAGCTAATGCATGGGAATAAATGACACCTATACATCAAATGGTGTATTATTTCTCGTTTCCCCATTCGCTCTGAATATACTCGCTGTTTGCTATCTCCACGCATGCAAGTTGTGGCTGCAACCGTCTTAGCAGTTCCTGAATTTGTTTTTCGGCCTGCGTGACCCAAATTAGACGTGTTGAAAGGTGGATCAAGTTGTGTGAAAAAAATATTATGGCCGACCCTGCATATTTAAAGCTTAAGGAGAGCATCGCTGTAGTTCATATACAACCAATGTAGCGTATAAAGATATAAGACCTTGATTAGTTGTGATGTACTGGGTGTGTGTTTGGAGGTCCCCCTGCCTACACCCTAATAATGTATTAAGATATGATAAGCTAATATACAAGAAAAAGCTGGAGAAGACTGATTCCATTTTTCTGCCCCATAAGTTTTATAAGCTTCCCTATGACGTGAATAAACATCAACTCACTGTAATGAGGAATGTGTATCTCTACTTCATCATATAGATTATCATTAATGTGTGACAATGAATTCTTGGTGGCTGCGCTGTTCCTGACAGCCTTGTCTGGCCTCTGGGTACAAGGCATATGCCAGATGGGTTTCTAGCTGCTTTATGAAACAACGAGGCGTGGGAGTGGTGGAGGAGCTGGGCATTTTTGGGGGGATTCCCACATCTCAAAGCAGTCCATGGCATGAACGGGAGTGAAGCATGGCTACCATAAATCATACTTTAGCTGCACACAATACCACCAAAATCAAATTTCATCTTTACATCATAGAGAAAACATGCAAAACAG